TCGCCCGTCTACAGTCTGGGCAGGAGTATATACTATATGTATATAGAATATAATACAGAGGTAGTAAGTTGCATGTAAGGAGTGTGTTTGTGCAACTGCGTCTGCGTATGTGACGAGGAACCCCTACCAGCAAGCCCAGCTAGAATGCGCCGGCAATACGGGCACACGTCTCTCCTCAGTGACTTATTAAAGAGCGAATGCTCGGCCATGCCCAACACCGGCCCCCACGCCTGCATTTGGCCTTAAAGATCCAGAGATGCTGATCGACGTAAAACGGGGAAGATATTGCAACTGATAGATAACCATAAATAAATGTCCAAACAAAGGATAGACTCTCCCCAGCCTTGCCTTTATCACGAGCAAAACCTGAAGGCATGTCAGTAATCTGGCAGGCAAGCAGGCACAGCACCGCACAGAACGGCCCGGCTCCAGGCATGAGTGGGCATGACATGGCGTAGTGTACCCAGTCACCTTCACGAAGCTTGCGTTGTGAGGAAATGCAGGCTATGGGCGAGGGTGTGGGGGGGCGAGCAGCAACGAAGGGGTCACGGCGGAATTTCGCTTTTCAGGAGAGTTCTTGCAAATGTCTAGTTACCACGAGGCGGGGGGAGGGAGAGGGAGGGAGAGCGAGAAACACCTCAACGCTTCAAGCATCGACCGGCGAGAGCTACTACCAAGTGTGATTAAAAACTTCAGATTACTGCCGCCACCATTCCCTTCACGTCCTCTCCCCCTCCCCTCCCCCCTCCAAGACAATCGCTATCTTTTCATTAAAACCTGACACACCAAAATGTCGGGATTGTGTCTATAAATAGCATGACAGCAGTGCGACAAGTGCCAAGGCCACTATCCCAGTATGGGGGTGGCGGTTTCCCCCTTTTTTCCTATTAGTCCCTCGCTATCCCCGTTCCTCCTCCGTTTACATTTATACTTTAGCGAACTCCGTGCACAGACAGGAAGAAAAGGGCAACCGCACTCGTGGACAAGGAAATGTGCGGAATCACAAAAAAGTGATACATACATACACACATACATTATATAATATATATATATATATATATATATTATATATATATATATATATATATATATATATATTATATATATATATATATATATATATATATATTATATATATATATATATATATATATATATATATATATATATATATATATATATATATATATATATATATATATATATATATATATATATATATATATATATATATATATATTAATTATATAATGTGTGTATATATGTAACATTTCTTTAACAGGAGTAACTTTTTTGTCTATTTCTTTGAAGATGTAAAGAGAACGAGAGAGAGAAGAGCAAGAGAGTAAAGAAAGAGGAGTGAAGGGGGGGGGGGCAATGATCCCCGGTAACTTGTATCAAAAATCAAGCCAACTGCTGACCCTTAATACCGTTTTGTGTTGGAGGCCGCTACATCGGGTCCTGCTGGCTTGATGGCGTTGGCTCCGGGTATTTATATCCACCAACACGTGCTGCTCAACAGTGACTGCTGCTGCTGCTGCTGCTGCCACTCCTGCTCCTACTTCCGTCCGTTCGTCCCCGTCGGCAGTGGGGGGCAGGACACATTGCCCGGATTCTCTCTTCCTTCTCGTTTCATAATTCTTTAAAAAATCGATTTCCGACCAATAGTCTTCTCACGCACTCTTCACTCCGTCTCCGCACCCTCGGCCTCCCCTCTCCTCTCTCCCCTCTCCCGCCATCCGTTACCCACACACAACGCACCGATAGAAATGTCAACTAATTATTCCACCCCCCTTCCCCCTCTCCCTCCCTCCCAAGTCATGAAAAGAACCGTTAAGAACTGAAGACAAGCAACGTTACAGTAACAAAAACATGGGCGCGCAGGTTACGTTCGAAAGCCATCACTGAACCAACCGTATTAACAAGTCAAACATGATGAACTTCATGACGGAATGATGAACGTAATAGCGGAAAAGATTATCTTTCCCTTCCATCTCCTACATCCCCCACACCCGCCCTACATCCCCCCCTCCCCCTCCCACAATGAACATCCCCCCCCCCCCAACCCCTTCTCCACTCACCGTCAGCATCCACCTCGTTGATCATGTCCTGGAGTTCGGCTTCGGTGGGGTTCTGGCCCAAGGACCTCATGACTGTGCCCAGTTCCTTGGTGGTGATGGTGCCGTCGCCGTCCTTGTCGAAGAGGGAGAAGGCCTCCTTGAATTCGGCAATTTGTTCTTCGGTCAGCTGATCCGCCTGCGGGGGAGGGGAGAGAGAGAGAGAGAGAACGCTTTTAGTATTGGGAATACAAGCGGATGATCATTAATAATGAAAAGAATGATAAATAATTACGCTATGTATAAGAATAATCCTAAACCCAGAATGGGGGAAAATATGGAAATAAAATTCTATACTCGTCCTATCCCAAGCTAAGGAAAAATCTTGCAAGTTATCAATCACCGAGTAGTAGCCATACTGTAGAACCTCAGCTTTCGGCAAC